TCAATAGGTCAAAATTGACACCTCTAATAGAAGTGATAAAAATACTCACAAAAATTATAAATAATGGTGGTTTAACTATTTTTTTTTTAATACCATAGACTACTCCTAATAAATGTATGATAGTATCCCAGATTCTTTTCTTGTCAGCTGGGAAGTTGGCCCAAAGAATGATAAATGCGAAAGTTACATATCAAAACCAGNCTCCTAATAAATGTATGATAGTATCCCAGATTCTTTTCTTGTCAGCTGGGAAGTTGGCCCAAAGAATGATAAATGCGAAAGTTACATATCAAAACCAGATACCTAAGTTGTAGCTACATCATCCTCTTTTAGAGCCCGCCAAGAAAGGAAAATAGCGCATTTTGTGGTTGTTGGGTTGTTAAAGTTTGATGTTTAATCACTCTCCTAGTCTCCTAATCTGCTCATGAACATCATATCAAACATTAATACCATTACCAAACTATGTCCGGAATTCGACCCACCACTCCACCTGCCACTACATTACCAATAAAACGAATAAAGTTCTTTGATCTCGACTCGATAATTTAGCTTTGAATACTATTTAAAGCTCGTCAATGTTTTGAATGTTGCTTGATCTTAGCTTTAATAAGCCAGTTAGTGTCAAGTTACTAGAACTTTACTTGACAATGGTTGGTTCAAAATGTCTCTTTAGACAAACGAACCAAACTCAACGCAAACTACTACTTGACTCCAGCCATTTACTCTCCCTTCCCTTATCCCCCTTCTCGCTTATGCTTGGTCTTAAGTCACAACTCTCATTTTTTTTTTTTTTTTTTGTTCAATAGTTAAGGATCAGCTTATATACACCTCGATTAATTTCTTCTCCGGTCTGATCAAAGGAAAGTCATTCACGTCGGAACTACATTATCCATGATAGATTTATCCCTCATTACCAGATTTGAACTCAGAATATTTAAATTTACAATTCATCCCTATTACTATTTAAACTACCCATCAAAATTACAACTCCCATTTGGCAATAGGCTCATCTATAGGNTCACAACTCTCATTTTTTTTTTTTGTTTAATAGTTAAGGATCAGTTTATATACACCTCGATTAATTTTTTCTCCGGTCTGATCAAATAAAAGTCATTCACGTCGGAACTACATTATCCATGAGAGATTTATCCATCATTACCAGATTTGAACTCAAAATATTTAAATTTATAATTCATCCCTATTACCATTTAAACTACCCATCAAAATTACAACTCCCATTTGGCAATAGGCTCATCTATAGGTTAGAGTTAGCTAGTTGAATATATTAATTGCTGAAGGTGGGTGCATATATAATTTTTCAATTAGAAAAGAGAGAAGGCAATCATAGCCATGAGCAGAACAAACAATTGGCAATGATGGACAATTGGGCTTCCTATCTTAGGATGCAAATCCTTCAAAATGTCCATTGGAGCCTAATTGCAGCAAGGTCTACTCTTTGGTCCTTATCACAGAGAGAGAGAGAGAGAGAGAGAGAGAGGCATGCCAACCAAGAATGATGATGTTCACGTGAATCACCATATCTCCCATAATCATACAAGACCAAACTAAACCATCACTTTATAAAAGAAATAATCAAATAGTATATAAGACTCTTATATAATATTAGTAAGAGTCATTCGTGTCTGAAGTTACGGTGCAATGTGAATAGTTTTAAGAGATGTTAGTAACCGTTGGATGAGCTTATTTGAAACCGTCAGATAAATTTATTGAAATCTGTTATGTTTTATATTATATATTTAAAAATAATAAAAGATATGTAGTCTTATGAATGAGCACTTATAATCGCTCTAAACATCACGTCTCAATAGAAAAAAATGTAACCATGTATTATACAAAAAAAAAAATGTAACTATGTATATGACAATGGAGATAGCCTTTCCCACAGTTATACCTTACCAAGAAGCCCTCAACCTACACGAAGACAAATATTTTTTTATATCTTTGGTGTGACTATTTACAAATTTTATTAGCTATGGCCAACTAACATCTTGAAATATGAAGTTGTAAAGAATATAATAAAATTCCAAAACAAATCAGCCTACGCCATTCTCCAAATATTATCTATAATAAGATTAAAATAAATCAGCTTATGACTAATCAACCACCTCAAACAGCACCAACTCCATAAGATTTGCTTTTATCCTATTATTGCCATTGATTGCTACTTGAGTAATACCGGTGTAACTTACAAAATTGACATAATTTGTTGATAATAATGTGACAACGAGATGGTCTAATAGTGTTATTGTGATTGTAATTTTTGAATTTCTTTAATGGAACTTCATCACTTTTTTTTTTACTAAAGGATGTCCAAGCTTGGACCCATTACTCTCACGAACTTAGGAACTCCGAGCACATGTCTCCTGAATAATAAGGGTGATTGACCCTTATGGAGTGGAAAGTATAGAACCTTATATCTCTTGTTTGAAAGATGATAGATTTAACCACTGAAGCATCCCTAAGAGTATGTGAAACTCTATCACTTGACACACCATTATATTAGCAAATTAAGTCAATTTTTAGGGTTCCAATAACATTACTCTTCCTATTTATTTGTTTTGAATTTTTTTTTTTTAAATTTGGCAAAAAAAACTCGTACAAATTATAATGATAATGCTAACCTGACTAAAACAATGAGACCAAGTACCTTAGCTGCTAAGCAAAATTCACATTTAAAATGAACAAAAAATGTGACCAATATTACGATCATGCCAACGTTACATTATTTGATTGGCCCTTTCATTCAATTTTTAGTCATATAGCATTATCCATGTTATAATAGCCTTTGGATTATGAGAAAGGCAACTGATGACTAATTTGATGTAGATAAGAAAATTTCTAGGAATAGAGACTGTAGATTTGGGGTTACAATTGAAATTAGAACAACACTATTTGTAGTTAAGTTAATTCAATGATTTATTCTGAGAAACTTAACGCATTGGAATACTTTATTTCTTTTGTCTTGAAGTTTACATTGGAGCTCGATAGTTGGCTACTATAGTAGCCTAACTAAGTTCGTTTTCGAGNGGTTCGTTTTCGAGAGAAATAATGGGCATGGTCAGGGCCTCATAATCCCACTAGTAAGTGCTTATTGGAATGGCCTCTAAGCACTCTCCCTTTTTTTTAAGTATCAATATATATATATATATATATATATATATATATATATATATATATATACACATTATTTAGTAGATTGAGATANTTAAGTCAATTTTTAGGGTTCCAATAACATTACTCTTCCTATTTATTTGTTTTGATTTTTTTTTTTAAATTTGGCAAAAAAAGCTCGTACAAATTATAATGATAATGCTAACCTGACTAAAACAATGAGACCAAGTACCTTAGCTGCTAAGCAAAATTCACATTTAAAATGAACAAAAAATGTGACCAATATTACGATCATGCCAACGTTACATTATTTGATTGGCCCTTTCATTCAATTTTTAGTCATATAGCATTATCCATGTTATAATAGCCTTTGGATTATGAGAAAGGCAACTGATGACTAATTTGATGTAGATAAGAAAATTTCTAGGAATAGAGACTGTAGATTTGGGGTTACAATTGAAATTAGAACAACACTATTTGTAGTTAAGTTAATTCAATGATTTATTCTGAGAAACTTAACGCATTGGAATACTTTATTTCTTTTGTCTTGAAGTTTACATTGGAGCTCGATAGTTGGCTACTATAGTAGCCTAACTAAGTTCGTTTTCGAGAGGAATAATGGGTATGGTCAGGGCCTCATAATCCCACTAGTAAGTGCTTACTGGAATGGTTTCTAAGCACTCTCCCTTATCCTCGCCCTTTCTTTTAAGTATCAAAATATATATATATATATATACATTATTTAGTAGATTGAGATAGAGTACCTTATTTAATACTAAGACCCGCTGTTTAAAAATTACAATATATTAGAGTACTAAAATAAGAGTAATGTTATTTAAACTTAAAAAATTGACCTAATGATATAATTTTATTTTAACTATTGAATTAATAATAAATTTTAATATTTGATGAGACGTACTATCAATGTAATGATCGTAGTACATTAATTCAACAAATTAGATCTCAATAACATTACTCTTAAAATAAAATATTTAAGTATTAATCGTATCTTTGTAATTAAGAAAATAAGAGATTAGTAGTTGACCAAATAATTACCGTCCTGATCTTAGACCTTAACATGGCGGGTTTGAACATTGTGGTGTCCCTCCGCTCTAATAACAATAATAATATGTGCAACACCTTTGTCTACACCTCTTAAAAGGTTATGATCTCAACATTTAAATATTTAATGAATTCAACAATACTCACCAATCTAATAGTTCATATTGAGATGATGCATAAATGTAGTGTGTAACATTATTTTTTTTTGCTACAGAGTGTCCAGACTTACGTTTACTATTTTTTCGAGTTCAATAATTGGTCACCATTACTTGAATTAGGTTAAAACATATCTCTAAAAAAATAAGAGTGGTTAATCTTTAAAAGATGTGAAAAGAAATTAAACCCGAGACTTCTGACTTATCAAAAATTAGGTTGAACTATTGCATCANCCAATCTAATAGTTCATATTGAGATAATGCATAAATTTAGTGTGTAACATTATTTTTTTTTGCTACAGAGTGTCCAGACTTACGTTTATTATTTTTTCGAGTTCAATAATTGGTCACCGTTACTTGAATTAGGTTAAAACATATCCCTAAAAAAATAAGAGTGGTTAATCTTTAAAAGATGTGACAAGAAATTAAACCCGAGACTTCTGACTTATCAAAAATTAGGTTGAACTATTGCATCAGAACTAAAAGTTGTGTAGATTGTTGCTCTAATACTGTATGAAAAAAAAAGAGTAATTAAGCAATGCGACTTAAATTTGGGTAATAGCATTGCTTCTTATATGAGCCGGTTTGTGGGCCAGCCGTTTGGGATGATTCTGGTTGGGGAGAGAGAGAGAGAGAGAGCCGGTTTCTTATCTTTCTGTAATGCTGTATAATAACGTGCCATTACCATCAAACATACCCAGTTACCATATCCTTCAGTTTTTGGCCATTTCTTCTTCCACAGCTGTTTTCTCCTTCTCCTTTCTTTCTGGATCTCAATCCCACTTCAACCAAATTCCTGGTCACTTACAGATGGTTTTTTAGCAGACGTAGTGACACTGAAGCATGTCCAACTCTCTCTCCCTCTCTTTCTCATATCCATCTGCAGTAACCACCATTCATTTTCCAACAGATTGATCATTAATCTATTCTCTGTGAAGAAATTGCTTCAAATCCTTTGACACCCAGTTCATATAAAGCATTCGGAAGTTCATGATCTTAGAGGATAAGTTTCCGAGATAATCTTCAATCTCTTAAGGTACAAGATTATTATCTGTGTATTTGATTTTTTCTTTTTTTCTTTTTTGAGAGTACAAAGATATCAAATTGTCATCACATAGAAAAGGAGATTAGAAAAGAAATTAAAAGTTGATGCTATATAATGAGGGACTTCCCTTCTTGTTTTGGTGAAAGTGGTGTTCAAGTTGCTGATTCTTCTTCATCATCAACTGCTAGTAAAACTGCTCAAAACCTTGTTACATGTGTCTATAAGTGTCAACTTCAAGGCGTTTCTTGCTTCATTACTGTTACATGGACTAGGACCTTAATGGGTCAAGGACTAAGTGTTGGAATTGATGATTCAGACAATCGGTCCCTCTGTAAAGTTGACATTAAACCTTGGTTGTTTTCCAAAAGAAAAGGTTACAAAACCTTAGAGGTGGATTCTAGTATAATTGTCGACATATATTGGGACTTAACGTCTGCTAAATTTGGTTCTGGGCCAGAGCCATTGGAGGGATTCTATTTAGCTGTTGTTTTGAACCAAGGAATGATTTTACTTTTGGGAGATTTGGAAAAGGAGGCACATAAGAAGACAGATTCAAATTCAACCCCTCTTTCTTTTGATTCTGTTTTTGTTGCCAAGAAAGAACACATATTTGGGAAGAAATTTTATGGTGCAAAGGCGAAATTTTGCGATAAGGGGCTTGTACACGACATCTCGATCGAGTGTGACACTACCGGGACTAATGATCCGTGCCTCGTGATTCGTGTTGACAGTAAATCAGTTATGCAGGTGAAGCGCCTCCGGTGGAAGTTCCGGGGAAATCACACCATCTTGGTGGATGGCCTTCCGGTTGAAGTTTATTGGGATGTCCATGGCTGGCTCTTTGGCAATGTGATGGGCAATGCTGTTTTCTTGTTCCAGACTTGTCTCTCAGCTGATAAGTTGTGGACTAGTAGTCAGCCTATCTCCAATCCTTCCATGTTGAGCCGGTCATGTTCACAGAGGTTTAAAGGTTCCCAGTCACAAGATCTGGGGTTCTCACTGATACTGTATGCTTGGAAGAATGAATGAAGTGACATTCTTCCTCTAGGACACAGCAAACAGATACCTTAAAATGATCCTCTTTTACTATAGATGTGATTGAAATACATATCCTGCATTTGGCTGTTGAGTATATATAATTTCTCCTTTTGATTTGCCTAAAGAGGTCAGAACTTGATAGAACTTTATTTTCTGATAGTGAGTCGATATACAGAAACCTGGTTGCTCATTACTCGTCTGAATCGCTCGTCTTTGTGGAGCATTGCGAGTGTGATCTTCCTTTTCACCCTCATGATCATTGTTATAAATCATCTTGGTGAGAAGGGTTTCAAAGAACAAATCACAGAACAAATAAATTTGTGTCAAAATCTTTGAACTTATCGGTTAATAAGTGTTGCATCTTATTTTCCTTATACTGCAGGAATTCAACACTATGGTAGAGATCATGAGCCACTTATCATTTGAAATAATATCAGTTTGTTCTGTATCTGCATATTGAGGTTCATAAAAGGATAGATACGACTATGTTTTATATGCTACTACATGATCAAAAAAAAAAATTAAAACCCAATGCAAAAAACACGATATTGTAGATTTCTACAGTTTCTAATGGCGCTTTATGCTCTTTCCCCTGTTATAGCTTTCCAAATTTCCAAGAATATAGTGAACAATAACTGAAAATTTAAAATGTTACAATAACCGATTCAATTTAGAGCAGTTTTGCTGTTCCAACTTCTCTCAATTTTTTTCAATCGTGTTGCTTGAACCAAAATGGAGCAGTTAAGCTGCACCTTGAGTGGACAGTAATATGCTGGAATGGAATTGGAAGGACTAGTTATTTGCTTAGAGTAGTTGAATATATATATATACAAAAAATTAGTTTGAGCGAGGAGAAGAAATGAACCCATAGGGTTTTTGTTGGAAAGTATTTATTTCTCGATATTAAAGCATTCATCGTGTTGCTTGAAGATATTCGTATTCAACTAGTGGGAATTTAGTTCTTTATACAACTAGGTCACAATGATCAATTTTGATTAACTACAATCACTTAACGTGGGAAGTGTTAATGTATATATGTACAATTCTCGAATAGAGGATTGCATGCCGTTGATATCGATAGAAAAAGCGATTTACGGAAGCCATTGAAACCAAACTTGATGGGATAAGAGCACTCTAACATGAACAAGACCAGGTCAGACATCGGCCAACTAGTGAATATCCATTGTACCCATCTGTGAAGATAGAGCTTCTGGATCAAAATCCTCATAAACTTTACCCAGAACCCAATCATCCCGCTGCAACTAGAGAACAGAAACAAATGCTAAAATCAGTTTTTCCCCAAAGACAGACAACACATAGACAAAACCAACAATTATAATTAAAACTAGACACTCAGACAAAAAAAATATTATTTGACATGAACCTGTCTAATAGCATTTATTGCTTACCCCTCCTTTCATGTGGTTACATTCAATTGAGCAGTAATGTTGTAGCAGCCTATATTCAATCATCTTCCAGTTTGTTTTGTGCCTATAGCCTGGTTGGGCTGTATGGAAACATAGCTCTTGCTTGACACCTATTACCCCATCCATGCATAGCCCGCTCTTTCCGAATGTTTTAATCCCTTCAATACCCATTCCCTGCTCGACGACCTGGCGTGCAGATTATGCCATTCGATGGACGCCTGGGCATTAAAACATAACATCCTTTCATTATACCACTGTTTGGTTGCTCTGTACAAGCATAAGAAAAGGGTTAAGATAATCTGTGGAAGGTCTATCAACTAATTGCAGGTAGCTTTATGCATATTAGAGTCCTACGGGGTATCAAAAGATTATAAGCTACAACATAGAGTTCACCCCTCTGATATAATAAGAGTCTAGGTTTTATCAGATTCTTGGAGTTGCTGATAGGACATTTGAATTCGCAGAGCAACTCTTACATATTCCATTAATTTCATCCGAGCTATCTGTTTTTAAAATGACTTCATGTTATATAACTCGGCGGTTCGGTACTCAAATTATTTGGCCGAGTTGTGCGAGGCTCGGAGTTTATTCGAGTTCGGAAAACGACTTGGCCAATTCGTAATGATACCCACCGATACTTTGAACCATGATTACATGTAACCTCCATGCATTTTAACTTTGAACTTGTATGTCCATCAAACATTGGAATTTACTGTTTACCCGATAGTTATAATGAAACCACGTCATTAGGACAGTAAACTGTGTCAGATTTTTAAGTCCAAATATCATTTTCCATTCTAGTTTTAATGCAAAAGGAAGCTGTTGTTTTTAACAAAATCACATCATCAAAACGACACCGTTTTAATCATCAACACATCTGCTGTTAAACTAAATTGTATGTGAATTGAACCAAAGAAGCTCGCAGATGGCACGAACCTGGGAAGAAATCAGAGGGATTGTAGTCATTCAAGTTTGCTATTATCAATCCGTCAATCAACACTGGCCGTTTGATGAAATTGTTGTTCAGTTGCTGAATCAAATATTGATCCGAATCCATCATTCGTCTTCCGCCAAAAAAACCTGTAACGAATAACCTGAGACATTGTAAAGTGGTTTAAACTACAAGAAGAAGAAGAAGAAGAAGAAAGTTCTAGTGAGAAATCTCTTTGGAAAAATATTAAAGAGAAGTGGAAGAAGGAATACTAATGCCAGTAGGAAAGTATTTCCGAGGAGAGAGAGAGAAGAAAAGAAGGTGTTATTGAACAAAAGGAATATTTATATAATAAATCTGGATATTTTTTCTCCCAAATTTCATATCCGATACACACTTTTCTCCCCAAATTTTAAAAATCTAACACACACACTCTCCACAACACACAGCTGCACATACATACACACTCCAACACACGTTACAATGCATGCACAGTATACATTTATTTTAGTTACGGAATATTACTAGTCTATATATATTAGAGTACTAGGCCGACTTTGTTTTTCTTCTTTATTTAGGATTTGCTTCTTATTTTACAAATTATTTCTTTTATTTTAATTTGCAGTAATTCTGTTAATGAATCAAATTTTATTATATCTATGTTCAAATCTAATTAACATATTTCAATTTGAATCAAATTCGAATGTCCACAGATTTCTACTTTCACAATCCATATATGATTCTATTAAAAATTGAATATCATATTTAAAACTTAATTTATAAAATAAAGTAACTTACAATTCAAATCTCAAAAGATAAACAAAATGACTTATTCTATTCGCGGTTGAGATTGTTTTAAATTTTATTTTAAAGTTAATTTAACAGTTAATATTAACACCCTAAATTTAATAGAAAAAATAGGGCTCTAATGGTGTGTTTGTGGTGATTTTTTAAAAATATTTCTAAAAATTATTTCTCATAAGTATTTTAAAAAAAAATAATAATGTTTGAAACCGCCACACCACTACCCCTACCACCATCACCACCACCGCCGCCGCCACCACCACCCCCACTGTTACCACCACCACCGTCGCCGCCGCCGCTGCCATCACAGTTGCCGTCACCGCCATCACCACACCGTCATTGCCACCACAACTATCACCGTCTCCTACCACCACCACTGTCGCCCACCACTTTTCACCCCACTATAAACCGATGCTTAAATTCATTTATCTCTTTTGTATGTTTGTGATTTAATTTTGGATATAAATACAAATATATTTATTATTTATTATTTTTTATTACACTGTACCTTCAGGCATAGGTAATTACTAGTAAATTATAATGAGATAAGATGTTGATATATCAATATTATTTGGATTCAAATAATTAATTAAAAATATTAATTTTTATCAAAATAATCGAATTCGAATCAAATCATATTATATCAAAATATGATACATGAGTAATATAGAAGTTATACTAAAACATGCTGCTGCTATGGCACGTGCATCCTTTTAGTAGTGGTTTTAAAAATTAGTTACGCACGTCGTTGCCCATTGCGCTCCTACTTCGAGCTGAGTTTTGTCTAGGTGTACTCTCCTCTCCGTGGGTATTTTAATCCAGTAAAAATATTTTAATTTAGAGGAATAAAGCATAATTATCATCATTGGATTGATGGATCGTAAATTTTATTCAGTAGTTAGACCCAATATTATTTCAATTACTACCATTGCACTAAATGCCCACCACATATATTATCTACATAAAATAGAACGTCATTTTCTAACAATGGTTTTTTTTTTTTTTTTGAACTAGAAGATTGTGAATTCATTTTAAGTAAACAATGTTGATTATAATTAGTGAAAAATAAAGCCTTAAACTCAGCAGGGAGAGAATCGACCCAACTCATTTAATTATGATAATTTATGTTTTTATAATAAATATTTTTATTTATATTTAACCACACAATATAAAACTATAATTTGTATCGAAAATATCTCCATTCTGCACCAGTTTTAATGACGAAAGAGGGCACCGAAAATAATCTCCATCCTGTAACTGCCGTACAGGGCTCCTTGACAGATACATCAACCATTAATAAATGAGAGACCCATTTTATATAATAATTTTCACTTAAATGCGCAGTACATAACCAACTAAGAAGAAATATAAAGAGAAGACATTTTAATAGAGATCTCAATCTAGAGAAAAGGAGGTCGAGTTTTTTTTTTTTTAATTTTTTTTGTTGGGAGGGGGGGCAGTGAACTAATATTTGCAAGACCCAAAACTTTAAAAGATGCTTACAGTACATTTCAACACACCCACAAAAGAAATAAATGCAGAAGAATTTCACCCACCCACACATAACACCCAAAAAGAAAGAAAAAATGCAAAAGTACATTTTCTGTGGACCACAGAAAGATGTAGCCTAAAAGCCACCACCACATTATACTAGAAATCATTATNAAGGGGGGGCAGTGAACTAATATTTGCAAGACCCAAAACTTAAAAAGATGCTTACAGTACATTTCAACACACCCACAAAAGAAATAAATGCAGAACAATTTCACCCACCCACACATAACACCCAAAAAGAAAGAAAAAATGCAAAAGTACATTTTCTGCGGACCACAGAAAGATGTAGCCTAAAAGCCACCACCACATTATACTAGAAATCATTATTAACGGTTCCAATAAAATTAGAAGGGACCGCAATATAAAGCATAGAAACAACTATAGGTAGATGATTGGTACGAGGGCGTAAAAAAGTCCCTTTGTTCGCACTGCTCTGATTGTGATTGTGTTTCTTGGCAAGTAGTTGAAAAAATAGACTAAAACCAGAATGATCCACATTCACTCAAGATCTACAAGCATCTGCTGCTGTAAAGGCGAGCACGTCGACCACATAGGCATATAATATCCCACCCTCAACGGGCCACTCCACTCACCACCCCTCTCTTCAGTTAGAGCTCCATGAAAGCAACTCCTCCCTGTAATACGAATAAAATCGTGGTCATGCAATCAAATACCAAAAAGATTATTAGAATTGATTTACTATTTGAGTAACAAACTCACATCAAGAACAATGAAATGGTTGACTTGATCAGTAGTAGAGAAGGGAAGTTATATATCAAGGAACATATATCGTCATACTAGCTAGCTCCATTCGTTATAAAAGTGAAAATGGTTTGGATTCAGAACAAGTCTGGAGATCATTGCCTTTTCCCTTCAGCAATTAAGGCAGAGACAATTAATTATACAACCAATTAAAAACCTCCATAGTTCACACCCGGTGGCTCAGAACTAACAAACCTAAAAGAAAGAAAAAAAAACCCAGCTAAACAAAAATTAAAGATTCATAGGTGTACATAACCCCTGGACTTTGCCAGCCACTCCCACTTCTTTCATCCTTCCCCCCCTCTCATCCCACCATTTTGGAAAAAAAATAAAAAAAAAGAGGGAACTATGGAAAGGTAGTTATATGTCGATACATACAATAAAATAAAAATTAAATAAAGGACTTAGTTAATGGGTGTGTGGAGGTACACTGTTGGTAGAATACAAATATACAATTGGATGAAACTTTTTATTTTTATTAACTAAATCAAAATTGGTGAATTAAGAAAACTGTTCTGTGCGATTGTATGTGTATAACTTATGTCACCTAGGTATATTATCTCTGCTGCGCTCTTCACTATTCATTTTTACTTTTCAATTTTCCATCCACATATGCTTTTCTATGCAAATAACTAGGGAAACTGTTGCTATCTCTTGGTTACCACTTACCTGGAAGCGTGAACAGGGCAAAATTATGACTCACTAGTCCAGATGTGTGCACCGCAAAGCGAATACATGTGTGTGCACACGCACATATAAGAGAGAGAGAGAGAGAGAGAGAGAGGNCCGCAAAGCGAATACATGTGTGTGCACACACACATATAAGAGAGAGAGAGAGAGAGAGAGAGAGAGAGAGGTACCAAAGTCATTTAGGAGCCACATTCCGGTTCTTGCCTCACTAGGTGTTCCTCTCATACACAAAGGAAGTCCACCTCATCTGAACTCTCCTCATATGTTATAAAACCGGGATCTCTACTGTCCTCATTACCACTACCCTGATCACTATTATAGCTGCTCNGGTTCTTGCCTCACTAGGTGTTCCTCTCATACACAAAGGAAGTCCACCTCATCTGAACTCTCCTCATATGTTATAAAACCGGGATCTCTACTGTCCTCATTACCACTACCCTGATCACTATTATAGCTGCTCTCTGATGAACTCATGAACAATGATCCGTCGGATGTATGACTGCTTATCTGTGATGCCAAACTGAAATCACTATTCACATCACTGCTGATCATTTGCTCAACTTCGGTGAAACTGCAAACAAGTCCAGGGAATGCCATTAAGGCGGTAAATGGTTCTATGTTCAATTGACATCGATAATGAGAGATGTAACATAAACCTACCTTCCTTCTTGAGGAAACTCGGCCAGCAGTAAGAAACCAGGCCTTTCTTCCAACAATTGCTTCAGAGGAATGAAACTGCACGAGATCCACCAAGCCACCAAACAGTGTTAGAGAAACAAGTAGTATATGATCTAGAAACAGTCCAAAAGGGAGAAGCTCTACCTTGGGCTGTAACATCTACGGTACCAGTCGCCTTCAGATGCTAGACCTTCCCTGTTGGATACGTCCTGTTTGGAGGCCATGGGAAAAATTTAAAAGGAAGCCAAAAAGGAAGGGGAAGAGGGGGTGGGAGGAAAGCCAATAAGTTCTTACAAAACAAAGTATAAGCCCTATTTCTCATAAAGTTCAGGGCAACAACTATAGTAATGCATATAATGAAAGACAGAGAAATAAATTCTACCCACAAGATTTCTAAGAAGCTTGAAGTCTCCTGCAACAACAGCTGACAAAAAACGAGCAACTTCGACCTGTACATGACACAAATTTTAGAAGGAAGGCGGAGAGAGAGAGCGAGAGAGACAGAGAGAGAGTCGTTGTCCTCACTTCTTTAAGATGCATACAGTCCCGCAAAATCAAGACCTCCAATAGGTTGCCACCAAGGTTCCTATGGGAGAAAAGGTGACAAATGTAAAAACCTAAACAATGAAATGAATTTGGGGTTGGTGGTACAACAGAGAAAATTAGAAACATATTGTCCATGGTAGACTCTCAGACTCTCAGACATACTTTAGAAATGCACCAGTGATGGAGTAGGATGTCGTGAAGTCAACATATTTCAGCTTCCGAAATCCCTGCACAGGTATTAAAGTACAAATGAACCGATGGTAGAACTATGAGCAACACAATTTGTCATTCACTTAATATGTGCTTACATNAACATATTTCAGCTTCCGAAATCCCTGCACAGGTATTAAAGTACAAATGAACCGAAGGTAGAACTATGAGCAACACAATTTGTCATTCACTTAATATGTGCTTACATGAAACTAAGCAGCTGCACAGTGCCTCACTTTAAAATGATTGACCATATTAACATTGCTACTATGCCACACAACTTATTCTTTGCTACATTTAGATGAACTCTAATAAAAATAGGTTTGAGGNTGGTAGAACTATGAGCAACACAATTTGTCATTCACTTAATATGTGCTTACATGAAACTAAGCAGCTGCACAGAGCCTCACTTTAAAATGATTGACCATATTAACATTGCTACTATGCCACACAACTTATTCTTTGCTACATTTAGATGAACTCTAATAAAAATAGGTTTGAGGGGGCTAAAGAAAGAGATTCAACAAAGAACTACTTCTCATATCATCTACCACCCTGCTGAAACCAAATAACTAGTCAGGAAAGACTATGTTAGTTAACTCAGAAAGCAACTTTATAAAAAAAAATTAGTTGTCAAACACGAAATATTCCATCAACATCAGGTTGGGTTTGTTTTACTCCTTAGGTTGGGTTAAGGCCAAACATGGCCAAGCTGGACTTCAGGTATACAACTTGGGCCATTGTAGGGTTGATTTGAGCTTGAGCACAACCCAACCCCGAACAAAAAATATGTTAAATAGGATTCATGTTGCCGACTTCAACTATTTGAGACAAAGTTTTTATTGAACTAAGTTGAGTTGAGCTATAAAATCTATAGACTCAGTCATTTGAGGANGTTGAGCACAACCCAACCCCGAACAAAAAATATGTTAAATAGGATTCATGTTGCCGACTTCAACCATTTGAGACAAAGTTTTATTGAACTAAGTTGAGTTGAGCTATAAAATCTATAGACTCAGTCATTTGAGGAAGAAATCAACTGAATCCTCAACTTGCAAAGAAAAGACAAGTTACAGTTCTCCTAGAAATTTTCCATTAATATGTAACGTTAAGGAACATAGAGCCCAGTTACAGTAGAAAACATAGTTGCACTCACAATGCCAGAAACACACCTTGACTAATACACGGGCTTTGTAGTCATGCAGCTTAAATCCCTTGAGTGCTAACGAAGATAGATGAGGACAACTGTTCACTAAATCACCACAGGTTGGTACTTTCAAACTGTCATCTCTACCTAAATATCAGAATAACAAGTATGGAACACTTTCCTTGAGCATACTAATGGGAAAACCAGATACTTAAAAAAATGAACCTGTTTTCGAAGATTCAAAATGCAGGCGCTCTATCAAATGACAGTGCTTGCTCACAGACTCCAGCGTTTGCCTTAGTTCTACATGGCTGTAACAATAGATGTGTGATTATGTGACCAGTTAAAACTTGTAATAAATTAAAAAGGACATCACACAGAAAAGCAAGGTTATATGAGATCATTATTTAAATGCTTAAAATAAAAATCACATGGAAAAAGAAAAAGCAACACACATGCATTAAAGACATCAAGATCACTTAATTCCAGCTCCCTCTGTCACGTCTTGATCACTGAAAAGACCAAGATATATATCTTCCTCCTTACCTCTCCCTATCTCTCCACTTAAAAAGAAGTGGTGAACGTGCCAAAAATATCCACAAAGGTAAAAAGAGAGCTAAGTACAGAAAGGCAAATCTTACTATAAAGGAGAGCTTGCCAAGATTTAGCTTAAGAGAGGCAATTAGCATCTTGCTGCGTCCAATTCAGAAACGCACAAGATAATCTAGTCTATTCAACACACATTGCAAATGATTCTAGTCATACTGCAGAGCTTTAAAACTTATCTGACAAAATATCTGATGCTACAAATAACCCTCTCTCCCAGTTTGAACACCCAAAAAATGCTCCACACAGCAAAATAATTGTCTTCCTCGTTCTACAGTTCAAACTATGCGCCTTTTCTTTGCATACGTGATGCAGGAATGAAAAAGGAAAAAAAAGAAAGAATTAAGAGACACTAAACCCTCACAAGGATTAGGTTAAGAAATACACAATTTCTCCGGAAAGAAACAATTTTAATAATATCAGTAGTAGGACTTACATCAATATTTACAAGCTAAGTCTCTTACCAAAAGATAAATTACTCAACTACCAAAATTCTATAACAATTTCCTAGTCAAACTCTGAAATTACTATCCTACTAAAACTTAATAACAACTTCTTAAGTAAACTCTTAATACTCCTAATCTCAAATATTCCTTAATTAAATAATCTAATAATAAATAATGAGATTACTCCTAATTAATCCAAATCTTCAATTCGTGCTTATCTAATTCATTTTTATTCTCCATCAATAAGGTATGGCCAAAATATTACAAAACCCTCTAGTAACCTAGCCCACAAGGCCCTCATCTATGAAACATAGACACTTCGTCACGGTCGACATACAAATATAAAATACCGTATTGGATACGATCCTTATTGAATATTCGAGAATACATATCAGATACTCATCATACGTGTCTGATAATTAATAAAATATGTGGATACCTCGCATATAATTTTACACATGACACATGAAACAAGATGTACAATTTTTAAATATTAATCTATAACCTTTCCTTTCGAGTTTACATATAATACAAAATATTAGCAAAATTCAATTTGACTTTGTAAACACAAGTGTTTTTTTTAGTATTATCTACTATAACATGTCAAAAGAGTAAAAAAATGAGTTAGTTACACTATAACCTTTAAAACAAATACTTGTAAACAAACCAACTAGTTAAATGTTGATTCTAATTCCTTTAATTTGTTATGTTCACTTTATGGATATATCATAATAAGACAATATTACACATTTTTTCAGATAAAAATTGCTAATTTTGTTTACTATTGTTAAAGAATTACTAAAAATTATAATTTTTAAGTTGTTCAATAATATTTATTATAAACGTATTCTGGCCATACCCATATCCTATTTTTTTAGGTTTTAGCGTATTGTCGTATCCGTATCGTATCGTACTCATATATCCGTGCTTCGTAGGCCCTCATTAATCCATGTTTACAANATATAAGTTTTATTATAAACGTATTCTGGCCATACCCATATCCTATTTTTTTAGGTTTTAGCGTATTGTCGTATCCGTATCGTATCGTACTCATATATCCGTGCTTCGTAGGCCCTCATTAATCCATGTTTACAATGCATTAAGACGATCCACAAATTAGATGTAACTGGCAAGCAAAATTCCTCACCAACTATTGATGTATAAAGCCCTACTGATTCCACCTAAAACCCACATTCACACAAAACAATGTTGAAAGAGGATGAGCATGACAATGATACTTTTATCCAGCCAACACCCCTACTACCACTATTACAGCTACAATCTCAACCATAAAAGCTGTTACGAAGGCCGAGAAAATCTACACAAGTGAAATTTACACGAAACTATTTTATAATTTTATGCAACAAATCTAATGATTGGTGCTCACTAAGGATGCTTTCCCAACAAAAATATTACATTTATGTTCAAAGAACACCATCGTGGTACATACACATTCTATTGTGTTTATTCATCTGCTATGTTTGCCAACCACCGTGAGNTATTGTCGTATCCGTATCGTATCGTACTCATATATCCGTGCTTCGTAGGCCCTCATTAATCCATGTTTACAATGCATTAAGACGATCCACAAATTAGATGTAACTGGCAAGCAAAATTCCTCACCAACTATTGATGTATAAAGCCCTACTGATTCCACCTAAAACCCACATTCACACAAAACAATGTTGAAAGAGGATGAGCATGACAATGATACTTTTATCCAGCCAACACCCCTACTACCACTATTACAGCTACNCATTCACACAAAACAATGTTGAAAGAGGATGAGCATGACAATGATACTTTTATCCCGCCAACACCCCTACTACCACTATTACAGCTACAATCTCAACCATAAAAGTTGTTACGAAGGCCGAGAAAATCTACACAAGTGAAATTTACACGAAACTATTTTATAATTTTATGCAACAAATCTAATGATTGGTGCTCACTAAGGATGCTTTCCCAACAAAAATATTACATTTATGTTCAAAGAACACCATCGTGGTACATACACATTCTATTGTGTTTATTCATCTGCTATGTTTGCCAACCACCGTGAGGAGTACCCATAAAAGTTCATACATCATGCCTTCACTTGGTCCAAATTAGAATGCATTTCAGAAAATCTGCAAGACTTCCTGAATTGTGTGATACAAAATGTTAAACACCCCCTCAAAAAGGCTGTTTCTAGTTTTTAAAATGCTTTTATCTTTTTTTTTTTGTAGATTATTTTTATTATTATTATTTGGGTTAGGCAGTGGGGAAGAAAAAAAGTTAAATATCTCAACCCAGACTGAGAAGAAAAACATAAATTTGAGTATATGCAAATGAACTCATGCTTTTAATATGAAAATGTCTAGTGCCATATAACACCATGTAAGCGCATGTTCAAGGCAATAAGCAAAGATTACTTCAAGGGACTTACAGGCCAACAATTTCTAGATCAAGAAGACAAGGGCAGGCTGATAGAGCTGTACAAAGTGCTGCATTATCCATCCTTTCAATATTGTAAAGGTGCAATCTCCTCAAAAGAGCCCTTAAGAATAAGCAATGAGAAAATAGTAAGAATGGAAATGCCACTTGTACAAACCAAAATTGTCTTTATGTCAAAGGTAACCATACCCAGGAGCACCATTGTCCCCACTCAAAGAGGTCAAGCACGACCTCGTAAGAACAGATGACTCTTTCCCTTGTCTAGATCTCTTATCATTCCAGGAAAAGCCTGATGCATCTGTGGAGTTCCTGATTGTATAAACTAATGGCTGAGAAGAACCAAGTGATGTTGGGCCAGGCACAATACCAAGCTTTACAGATCTAAATTGGAAAAAGAAAATGGGTCATTAAATATCTGTTTAAAAGAGAAAGATGGATAGCATGAAATGCAAGTATATATATTGAAAAACAAAGGAAGTTTTCCCCATCGTGTAGCTCCTATAAATTGTAGATGCAAAGATCTCAGTTGCAAATGCTGGGATTGGTGTAATCAATTACAATTGCTAACTTTATCCAATTTATAAGTTCCAGATATTAAAGATGGAGGAAGTTACGGTATTTGTAAGGGTTGAAATTGGTTGGTTAAGCTAGTAACCCTGCTTTCCCATCCCCATCATAAACATAAGTTGTGCATATTATAAAGATATATCCACCAGTGGTTTGTTTGAAAATTCAATCCTGTCCTGAAGTNGTATTTGTAAGGGTTGAAATTGGTTGGTTAAGCTAGTAACCCTGCTTTCCCATCCCTATCGTAAACATAAGTTGTGCATATTATAAAGATATATCCACCAGTGGTTTGTTTGAAAATTCAATCCTGTCCTGAAGTTTAGGTGGCTTCAGATGAAATAATTTTTTTGTGCATTTGTGAGCAGCCATCATGCATTATATTGCCCCTACATTATCTCTTCTTTCCCTTGTCGCAAAGTAAGCAAATATCCATTTGTAGGGAGCCAAGGGATTTCAATGCACTATTATACTACAAGAAGCTACAGAAAATGAATAAAATTTCCTAAAGGTTACAACCAAGACAACTCTCTAACCGTACAAAAGAATGAATCGAGTGGCAAGATCAACGTAGTAGCCACAAGAATAGCAAACTCAAAAAAGCATGCTTAAGCTATGGCAAGCACAACTCCTGTCCCTCAAAGAACCTGCTCTCCATTTCCGAATCTGCATCCTACGAAAAACACCAGGGCCTACCCGGCCTCGAGTTACTCTTCTGCTTCCTTGCAAATACAAACAAATTAGTGATGATCTTCCCCCTTTTTATCATTTATTTGTTAAAAATCTTCCTCAAAGAAGTTATACAGACGCAAAAACAGCAAGAGGGAATAAATTCAGCCAGATCTATAGTCTTTCCAATACCCTTCTGCCTTTTGTCCTTCAAATACCCTTCCAGGTATGACAATTTATACAGACTAATTGCATGACACATCTGACCCTATGCTCATCAGTATTTTACTGTAATCAACTGAATCAGTTGCTGATAGAAAGCTCTAGTTGGACATTTATGACTGCTCCAAGTACAATTAACATTAGGCTACGTTGGAGTTGTGTTCAATAGAAGAACCCCACAGTTAATCTTTCTTTTACCAATAAGCGGAGAAAATATATCACATTCACCAAGGCTCTCATTTAACTTTACGCAACTTAAAATGTAAGATACTAGCACAGAAAAAAATAGTTTACAATTTGGGTAGAAAACACTTACTGAAGCGCTTTTCCAGCTCTCTGTATCATTGTAGATACAACCACATTATTGAGCTTGGGGACTATTGTCCTCAAGTCAATATTGGCATAGCATGAAGGATCCATCGCACACTTGTGAAAAAAGGAACATGCCGCTGTGGCATAACATAGGCTTTGCGTGTCAAGCATAGAAAAAACCTGCATACCAGCACGTGTGACGAAGTAATCAGATTGTGCATAATTAAAGAACAGTAAAATTATCCATGTCGGGTCTATCTGTTTTGCTATTTCATCATTTATTAGTTCTAGCGAATAGGACAAATGCTACCAACATATCAGTGCATTCCAAGAGACTATCACAATTCAATAGACAATGCAGCATATGAGTATTTGAAAATCACTACAATAGAAAAAATGTCCTAAAGTGATCGAAGTTCAAGCATTAACCACAAAAATTTGACAAGAGATACAAATTTCAGTATACTGGAAATCGACTACACGACTTCAAAATACTCAATTACCATGCTAGGCATCCAATATACACAGTAGTATCTGAAAAAACATAACATTCAAATAACAGACATACTTTGATAGTGAGATCAGGAGGGAGGGCCCAAACGACGGCGTTATGCATCGAAGCACGCTTTCGAGCAGATCTTTTGCCAGCTTCGAGAAGCGCAGAGCCTAACCTGAGAGCACGGTCAATCATGTCGCTCTGGTCGGAATCGCAAGCCCTAGATTCCAGAAGGCGATCGAAAGAGAGGTCTAGAGAGACAGTTGAGGAATCGGAAAGACCTAAAAACGATTCCAGGAGAGAGTCCATGTCCAGATGGCGATCGATTCTGGAATTGGAAACCCTAGGGCTATGGCTGATGGTGAGAGGGTCCGGGGAGGAGCAACAGGGGCGCTTTTGCTTGGGTTTGGCCATGGAAGGAAAGTGGAGGAGAAGGGTATCCATATCGAGTGGAGGACAGAGTAGTAGAGAGAGAGTGAAAGACAGACATCGAGAGGGTTTAATCTTTGGTTAATATAGTGCAAAGTGCGTGAGGTACGGACGCAGAGAATCGAGTGACACGTGGGAAAGTGAATGTGTGTACGTGTAGGTAAAGCCTGTTGTTGGTTCGGGGGCGGTTTGATAGCTGTGATTGCGTCACAATTTTGTTTTTTGGACAAACTTCAATTCACCTCATCATTGTAGTTTGATCTATTTGGACATTATCTCTCTTATGTTCTAAAATAACACTCAACTCTTAGCGGCATGTTTGATATGTTTTTTTTGGGAGGAATTTGGATTAAATTGTTCAAACTCATATTTGATCAAAAATGAGATTCAAATATGGGTTTAAGGAGGTTAATACTATCAATGCCCGTATTTGATATGCGCAAGGTATATTACTATTATGATAATATATTTGTATATATTTGACTTTTGCTCCTTAACCAATTTGTATATATGAGATATATAGGATATATAGGGATATAAATGTTATTTACATGTTAAACCTCCAAACTCACAAGTGAAACCCACGCCCCCTTGGGTTTCATGAAACCCAAGTATATGGGTTTTATGATCAGACCATGACCGGGTCGAGTTTGAAATCCTATTCATACTTTCTAGNTCTTATGTTCTAAAATAACACTCAACTCTTAGCGGCATGTTTGATATGTTTTTTTTTTGGGAGGAATTTGGATTAAATTGTTCAAATTCATATTTGATCAAAAATGAGATTCAAAGATGGGTTTAAGGGGGTTAATACTATCAATGCCCGTATTTGATATGCGCAAGGTATATTACTATTATGATAATATATTTGTATATATTTGACTTTTTTGCTCCTTAACCAATTTGTATATATGAGATATATAGAATATATAGGGATATAAATGTCATTTACATGTTAAACCTCCAAACTCACAAGTGAAACCCACCCCCCCTTGGGTTTCATGAAACCCAAGTATATGGGTTTTATGATTGGACCATGACCGGGTCGAGTTTGAAATCCTATTCATACTTCCTAGTTGTCAAACATAGCTTTAAGAGGGTTTACTTCCTAACCCATGTTCCCAAAACCCCCCAAACCCACATATCAAACAACCCCTAGGGGTGTAACTAGGCAGGTTAGGTGGATTAAACAATCAACTCTAGTCCAACTTTAAGTATATAATCTTTAACTCTAATCTTAATTCAACCCTACCTCGGGTNCCTAGGGGTGTAACTAGGCAGGTTAGGTGGATTAAACAATCAACTCTAGTCCAACTCTAGGTATATAATCTTTAACTCTAATCTTAATTCAACCCTACCTCGGATTAAGGAACTCAACCCGAACACTGTTCAAATTTTATTTGGGCGGGCTTAGTTGAATTCAGATTAATGATTTCGGGTTACTTTACTGGTTCAATTCGAATTGAGTTTGGGTAGAGTCCAAAATAGGCTTATTGTTCTAAACCTAGTATATATATTATATAATATTCATATAAATTAATAACTAATAATTTCAACCAAGTTTTTAACATAAAAATCATAATCAAAACATAAAAATCATTGTCATCAGTCCAGTGCGAGAGAGACAGAGAAATGGGGAATAATTACAAATTTATAAAACATAATTCATATATTTCATTCATAACAGTACACGATTATTGATCATCTGTTTTCACACGAAAAAGCTAATGATCTCAAAGCACAATCCCAAAAACACATAGACATTAGACCCATAAAAAAATTAAACTTAAAACATCACATTATCACCACTAATCACGCATAACAAAGTAGCAAGCAACAAGAAACAGAGGAATTCAGATTCGGGTTGAACCCGTGAACCCAAGGTCTTAACCCAAGCTCAACCCAAATTGAATTTGGGTTGAAATTTTTTGACCAAAGTTTAATCCAAATATTAAAAACCCTTGCCCAAGCCCTATTTTTTTCGAGTTAGGCTTGGGTTAAAATTTGGTTGCCCAACTCAAGTTACGCCCTTACTTAACCCCTTATTGTTGTTGGACTAAAATACACTTATAGATTTTTCTTTCATTTAACATTTTTTTTATATATCATGCACTTTTTATACAATTTGATATAAAAAAATATATGCCAAAAAGTCGAAAACACCCTCAACAACTTTTGTCTCCTCATTTGCCCTCTCTCTCACAATAACTCCGTAACGTGATACAATGGACGGCAGAGCGAACGATGTTGTCAACGACCATGCAGCACCAACAACCAAGATTATAGTCTCCCAATGATGACAAGAGACAACCATCACCATTCACCTCCTCCATCTCAACCACTCATCTCATATTTTCATTGATTAACCACCGCTCACCTCCTATTCTCTATTATTGCATTTTTATTCATGATACATCTTCCTTCGCTATTTTTTTAATTTGATTTCAATTTTGATTTGTTTATTTTTCTTTTTCTCTCTAACTATCAGTAGCACTACCATTTTACACAAATCATCAAATATAAACCCTATTGCACCAAGTTCAAACAATAATCCAATCTAATTGCACCAACACTCAAATGTTCAAACCCAATTGCAAAAAGAACGGAAACTACCATTATCGGCAATCACATATGCTCTACACCAGTTCTCTCTCTCTCTCTCTCTCTCTCTCTGGTTTCTCACATCAAAACCATATAAAAAAATTAGGCTATACCCAAATCGTCGCCTTCCCTCTGACTATAATTCCCTCTCTGTTAATTGTTGATTCATGCTTTGATTGTTGGTGAAAAAAAATGGAATTGAGATGTTGGGGTAAAATTTTTGAGTTTGTGTTGGAGTTGAATTATGAAGGTGCCACGGTTCATATGGTGTAGGCGATGGGCTGTTGTGGGTGATAATGGCGTAGTAAACGTCTACATTGGAGGTGACTAGGCTGACAAATTTAATAATGACGGAGGCTGCTGAAGTTATTTTGGGATAATTATTTTTTAAATTAAAAGATAAAATTAATGGATATTAAGATCATTTTATTGTAATAGTTAACAAAGTTAATTATGCATTTTAGTTCAACAATTACAAGGGGTAAATTGTCATTTTAGAACATGAGGGAGTTGAGGTGCAAATGAATTAAACCACAAAGGGGTAAAATAGAATTTGCTCATTTGCACCTTTTTTTCCAAGTACAACTAGGGGGTGGGGTGAACTCATAAACAGATATCATTAAACTAACAGCTAGATTTTTGTCTTGGAATTATTGCTATTGGTGGATTAAAATTACTTCCAATAAAAAAAAAAAAATCAGTGGGTTAATATTGGTAAGTTCAACACGAACAAAAATGTTAAAATTACATAACACACTAATATAAAAAATAAATAAGTCATTTTAAAATATTATATACAAAAAAATATATATTTTTGGCACAACATACTTTTTTTTTTTTTGAAAAGGTTATACTTCATTAACATAGATCAAAGGCCAAAACATCAACAAGAAAAGAGGGAGGAGATGGTCCCCAAACCTCCTGATCAGACGTAGAACCGGCTGCTCGTGCAAGAGCATGCGCCACCTGATTCGCTGATCTTTTCACAAACACAAACTGACAACTACCAATATTCCTGGCAAGGGATTTACACTCATCAACTATTAAACCAAAATAAGATAAGTCAACCTGGGAACATGTAATAGCTTGAATCACAATCTGTGCATCAGATTCCAAAATCACTTTATTGAGTCCCAAAGTCTTCAGCCAACTTAACGCCTCACGAACGCCAATAGCTTCAGCAATTGTAGCATCCAATGGACCAGCAACTATACCATTCTTGGCTGCCAACATAGACCCCTCAGCATTCCTTATCACACTGCCATAACCAAAGCAATTAGAATGACCAAAGAGAGCTGCATCAACATTGCATTTATAAGTATCTGTGTCTGGCTTCCTCCAAGATAGCATCAACAGCCCGTGCCTCGCTCTGCCTGGTATGAACTTGAGCATTCCTCCACTGCTCATGCAATGAAGATGCCATAGTAACCACTTGCCCTTCATGAACTCTGCGATTACGCCAAACCAAATCATTCCTGCTGTTCCAGAGACCCCATGCAACCATCGCCGCCATACTAGCCTCTACTCGGCTTCGACCCATGAGCACACGTGCCCACCATTCACTAAAGTTATCCTCAGACCCGCTATCAACACCCATCAAAGATAAGCCCCAAACACCACTAGCATAAGAGCAGCGCACCAAGACATGCAACGAATCTTCAGGACTGTTATTACACCAAGGACACATGTCATTGACATCAACAAATCTCTTCCTCAGGTCTCTCATAGTGGGTAAGCAGTTTGTACACGCACGCCAAAGGAAATGTTTCACTTTTGCTGGAACCTCAAGAGCCCATAACTTATGCCACAATTTTGAATTATTCTGTTGTGCCTCACCTCTGTTATTAAGCATTAGAGTGTGATAACCACTCTTGACCGTGTATATGCCTCATCTTTCTCTGGACCAACTCCAGCAATCTGCATTTGCCTGACGACACAAGGGAATCTCAAGACTGAGCCTCTTGTCCCGTGCTGTGAAGAGATCATTCAAAATATCCAAGTCCCAGCATCTATCTTCCACACGACATAATGACTGGACCGTGGTATTTTCCATCCCCTGAGGTAAAGCAGTTTCAACAAATGGCCACATTTGGAAGTCAAGGGTCTCACCATACCTTCACCTGACTGCCCGTGCCTATCCTCTATCGAGCTCCTTTACGAATAAGCTCCTTCGCCGCCAGTACACTCGTCCAAACATAACTAGGATTCGAACCAATGCGGGCATCCAAGTAAGTTCCCCTAGGGAAATAACGTGCTTTGAACACCTTAGTCATCAATGAGTTGGGCTCTATAAATAAACGGCAGCTTTGTTTGGCACAACATACTTAATCTAGCAAAAAATTGTTAATTTTTTGTATTGTTTGATTTTCTATAATGATTTGTATGAATTTACCCATAGTTCATGGGCCCCATTTAGAAATTAAAGTAGATGCAGGACAAGGGCATGGTAAAAGGCCA